TTTTTTTTTTTTTTTGCTTCTGTAAGATTCTATATGTATATGTATTCTACACGCACCACTGAAAAGTTAAAATGCTGTGATGAACTTGTCAGGCTCTAGTTTCCAAAGATTTATTAGTCGAACGTAATAAAAGGGATAATCTGGAATTTGATTATGTGACCTCACTGAACTGTAATTTAGCACTTGCTGCTAAGTATCCCAGTAGTATTCTGGACTCTCACCTTAATGCAGTACGTGAGTTCCCTTCCAATAGCCACATAACTTTATATAACATACCATGCTATTTGAAGAAGAAATGCCTTTGAAATGGCTGCATTGAAACTAATTGGTGCCAAGGAACATCTGAATGTGATTGTCTTTCAGGGAGAATTTAAAGACAATTCATTGCACTCTTTTTAAAAAAAGGACATTTAGTCATTCTATTTTAAACAGCATGATACTCACTGAATTAGGATTACAAATGAATGTTTTGGAGCTTGAGTAGCAGCCTTTTGCTTTTCAACTCTAGGAAAATGATTTTTCTTAACAGAAGTTATTATTGGTTACATGATAGACAGGTCTAAGGAATTTTTCCTAATTAGGAGTTCAGTTCACTAAAGTTTTGCACAACACATCTTTTGTGACAAGGTTTTCTTCATATAGCATGCATTTTTACCACATATCTATGCTGTAAGGAGCAAGATTTCAACAAACCAAACAAGAAATGTACATAAACCAAAACAAAAAGCCATGCCCAAATTTTGGTTTTGAGAGAAACCAGAAGTTATCTATGGAAGGAAGAGAATACAGATAAAATCTAAACCTAGTCTATAGCTGTCTTTCTAGAAAAGCACAAGAAATGGGCAGTCTTTCTGCCTTACCTCTCCAAAATCCAGCAACCACTTCTCTGGCAGCACTGTGAAAGCTGCCTTTGGCTGGTCTCTGCTGGAGAGATGGGACTGCGGCTCAGGGATGAAGGGTGAAGTTCCTCAGCCATGTCTACTTCAGGTTTCTCCTGGAGGAACAGAGGAACTTCGCTACCATGTGGTCTGAGAGAGATTTTAGTTTTTTCAGCAATGCTCATTCTCCCTGACAAAGCATGAAGGGTTTAGTCTTTACCCCCATCTCTCTTCCATCCCGTCTTCTGGACACACACGCACACCAGTCCCCTGACAGATAATCAGAATTGTAGAAGCCACCATGTATATCTGCACTGACACTTAAAGTTGACTTTGAAGATCTCTTCAGCTAGCCAAATCCAGATATACTTCCCTTTGGCATCCAGCAGGCTATCAAAATAATTTTGTGGCTGACCACAAGAACTATAGACCAAGAAAGAATTCATAGACATAACAGTCATGGTAACAATATATAATAGAAAAAAAATGAACGTTTGTAGTTCCAAAAAATTAAACACCACCATTTCCCTCTAAGGGTGGTAATCAGAAATGGTAACCAGAGGAAGTCCCTTTTCTATGTCTAAACTGATATTTAGGTTTGTCTCGGGTCACACTGATGGAGCGTAACCCACGTGAGCTGCCCTTTCCTATCTATGCCTTATCTCACTGCCTGAGAAAAAGGTCATCCACTCTGTGTTTTGTGTTGACAAAATGAAGTAGAAATCAGGAGTGGACTACTACTGTCTTCTTATTTGTCTCAGTATTTGGGCAGTCGAGAAAGAAAGCATGTGGCAAGGGACTGAAGGCAGGAAGCATGTCTTGAGGGATTTGTGCTGGCCAAGACCCTCTGTTCAAACCATGCAGAGCCCTGGCATGCCTCAGACACACAGCACAGGAGCACGAAGCTGTCAGTCAGGCTGGAAGCCTGTTTAGGTCTATGCTATATGCATTTCATGAAGGCAACCTTACCACCACCAGTGCAGACACGGGTTTCACATTACATGTAATCTGATGTAACTGCAGGCTCCCATGGAAAGGGTGGCCTCGATTCATCTTGCCCTTAGCCACATGTTCTTGCTGCTTCCTTTGAGTCATATCAATTGATTATGGAGCGGCAGAGCAGGCTAATGGAAAATTAACCTGCCAAAAATAGCAAAACCCATGCAATTTTCTGCTGGGTCAGCTCATGGAACCACATTCCCCCGGGTCCAATAGCTGGGTCCAGCCCACGAGAGGGGCAGGAAGCCTGTTGCTGAGGGTCAAGGAGTGCAGTGGGACCACTCTGTGTGGCAGCAGCCCGCCCATAAGCCAAAGTAAGTGTGACTTTAAGCCACATCTGATGTCATCTTATCCTCCCCAGCAACTATCTAATCAACTCATCCTGTCTCGGTAAAAAATCCCCTTCTCATGCTCACCTATTAGTTATGGAAGGATGACATCTGGGCTGCCTTGCACAGTCTCAAAGGGCAGTTTGGCCACTACGGTGACTGCCTGGAAACCACCAGTAATTGCTCCTGGTGTCCCGGTAGGTGCTGTTCACCGAGATCTGCACTGAAAAGGCAAAGCACTCCACATACACAGTGCCTTTGTGCCTGGTGCCTTTTCATTCAGACCTCTGGCCATAACTGTGGAATAAGGGAGAATGGATTTTGCAGAGTGGCTCATAATGAATAGGAGCAACTCATTTTTCATGTGCTTGATTTTTTTTTGAATAGGAGCTTTTAAGCCATCACCATTGTTTCTTGTTAGTATCATATCCATCTTTAAGTGTTTTCCTTGTTGGAGGAGTGGGTGGGATATCTGTGCTTTATGACCATATTCTGAAAACCAGAAAAGCAAATCATACCCGTGAGTAAGGACAGTTGCTCTTTTTTTTTAAATAGATTGCTGCTCTGCCTCTTTAAAATTTGTTGTCTCACTGATTCAGTTCGGATCCTTTCACCCAGCACAATTTAAACTTTTGTTCAGTATTTTTTCGATCTTTGCACCTATGAACAATATGAAAGCCAGCGAGGAGTCAGATGTACTTGACTGCTTTCCTTGCCTGCTACTCTAAGTATACCAACTTACCAACTCTTTCCCTCATCCCTAAAGTAATTTAAAAGTAGTGAAATATTTTAATGACATTAAAAATTAGATTCTCAAAGCATCACTCCATTAAAAAACTATATCTTCACTAGTGAAATATTAATGACATTAAAAATTAGATTCTCAAAGCATCACTCCATTAAAAAACTATATCTTCACAGTGTCTTGTAGCTATTTAATACCTCCAGTTTTACCTGAAAGTACTTACAAAGTGTGAGATATAGACATCTAACATACTTATGGGACTACCAGGCAAATACAATATCTAACTGGTTATGCCAGATTATATTTGGTAAAATTTTGGTTGATTGTTTACCACTTTGGACAGGTTTAATTTATGTGTCTAATACACGTATAGCGATCTTGGACCAGGTATAAACAGAATTTTTTTGGTTTCAGCCTATGGGATCAAAGCAATATTCATTCCTTTTGGTCTGGAGTATCTCCAAATATAGACCATCTATACTGCAGGGTATAGATGGAAAAAAACAGTCAGTGAGTTTATATAAATATATATATCCTGTATATGACATTTTTCTGTTTCGGTAATGGTGGGCAGCTGAAGTGATATAAAGGGAGCACCCAAAGAGACTTCCATTTTGGCAAATAAGTTTTGGTCTTGGCAATCTTGTTTTAAATCGAAATCTACAGTAGCCACCTGGGCTACTCATTAAATGTGCTGTCCATTTCAGTATATGAATATATGATTCAACATGTAGAACATATTTAAAACTCACCCCGTAAAGTGATACCTGATACATTATGGCTATGCTCTTGATACTGAAAGGTATTTGACTTGTATACCAGCACTCGTTTCAAATAATTCTGAGTTCAACCTCCTAACAAAAATTATGACTGACTCCCTTTGCTGTTTTCACAGCCAGATTTGGTTAAAAGCGGTTGAAATGTGACATTTATGCCTGGTTTTGGTCCTCTGCGGGAGCCCATGGTCCTTTGCAGCAGGAGAGGGGGTGTCTCCTGTCCTCCCCGCCAGAAGCTCTTGCAGCAACCTGCAGGGCTCTGGGGCACCCTGGCAGACCACTCCAGAGCTAACGC